AAATCACAGTCTCAGATCGGCAAAGTATACAATTTCTTAGCTTGTTAGTTTAAAAATTCCCTGATTCACTTTCAATGTATAAAAGTAGTTCTTCGAGTGCAGTTTTCCATATTTTTTAAACTAGTGTCCCATGGTTTCATTTTATACATTAATTTAATTCAGAAAATCTTCTATTGATTTTAAAATGACAAATTTATTGTTTTAGGTGTTTGAGTATGGTGCAGTCATTAAAGATATCGTCAGCGTCCACTACCCATGTGTCGAAATGGTATCCAGATCAAAAATATCGTGTGTTAGCTGGCACACGTACCACAAAAGTACTCTCGCCTCCAGCGATTACGAAGGTACCGTGACCATATGGGACGCCTCAACCGGCCAGAGGACGAAAACTTATCAGGAACACGAGAAACGTTGTTGGAGTGTAGATTTTAATTGTGTAGATACTAGACTAATAGCATCGGGATCTGACGATGCAAGAGTTAAGCTGTATTCTTTAAATGAAGAACATTCTATTGCTACGTTAGAGGCCAAAGCAAATGTTTGTTGTGTCAAATTTAATCCTAAAAGTTCGTCACATTTAGCATTCGGTAGTGCAGATCACTGTGTTCACTATTACGATCTAAGAAACATGAAAGAAGCCGTCAATGTTTTTAAAGGACACAAAAAAGCTGTGAGTTACGTTAAGTTTTTAAATAGCGAAGAAATAGTCAGTGCATCGACTGATTCTCAGTTGAAGATGTGGAGCATTAATAGTCCGTACTGTTTGAGATCGTTTGTGGGTCATGTCAATGAGAAAAATTTTGTCGGTTTGGCTACTGATGGCGAGTACGTAGCCTGCGGCTCCGAAAATAACGCACTCTACGTGTACTACAAAGGTTTGAGTAAAAAATTGTTTAATTACAAATTTGAGGCTGTAGAGGGCGTTTTGGAACAGGAAAGAAGGGAGGACGATATGAACGAATTCGTATCTGCAGTATGTTGGAAGCAGAGTTCGAATGTGATTGTTGCAGCTAATAGTAGAGGAATTATCAATGTCTTAGAACTGGTGTAGTCATTTTATATTTAATTTCGATGGACGTTTATAATTAAGATGATTATATGATGATAATATAGTTATATACATATGTGTCTCAAGTTATTCCAGAATTTTATTTATTGTAATAAATCAAAATCTTCTATATGAGTATTAGACAATTTTATGAAATAAAAAGATACAAAAAAATATTTTTTGTTATTTATTAGATACGGCATCCTATTCTTACTGTAATTATGCATAATTTACAATATTATGCAATTAGATTTACTTATTTTCTCTCCGGATTACTTCTTTAAATCCTTTACGGCCAATACTACGCCACTAAGGTGGTATTTTCGTTAGCTGTAATTAAATCAATCAGACTGCATTCTTGTCTCAAGCAACAGGTGCCCACAGAAAAAAAAACAAAAAAAAATACAAATGAAACCAATAAGAAGATCCAGAAGGATATGGACGATCTTATATGGAAGATAATCTTGCGTTGCCCTATGTACCGTACATAGTATTTAGAGCACTGAATCCCCTACATATAATATATATATATATATATATATATATATATATATATATATATATATATATATATATATATATAGGTCGGTCAGATAGCTCAGCGGGCTGTGCGGCTGCCTCCCATTCGCTTCACTGTCGAATGGTTCAGTGGATGTGGGATCGAGCCCCAGCTCGGTGTACAGAAAACAAAAAAGTCTAACGCAGCAGTTTAAAATTCTAGGTGAATCTGCGGCGTAGACTAGAATATGCTGGGATCTGATCGGCCTATGGTGGAGCAGTACGGCAAGAGATAAGGGCTTGCGGCTCGGTGATACTCTTCCATAGATCCCTACCGGACGGGCGTAACGCCTAAAAAAACCGGATATATAAAAATATATATATATATATATATATATATATATATATATATATATATATATATATATATATATATATATATATACAGAGTGGCCAAATTATTAGGGAAAGTAAGATGATTTCTTAATTGTCTAGTTTAAATCTAAATCACATCCACATAATGGTACACAGTTGACATGATTTTGCTTGCAGTTGCAAGCATTAGTGCTGCCAAAAAATTTCGCCCGGCACCCTTCAGATTTGTTTAAAGGGGACATTTTTGAACCGGAATCCGCGAAGAAACCGAATCAGAAACATTTTCCCAACGGGAGCGGCCTCACAGCCTGGACTAATGCTGTAATTACAGCTTCTACACGTCGGGGTATGCTCTGAATACAAACTTCTGCATTGTGATTTAATTTTTGGTTATGATGTCATCCTTTAATAAGAGCTTTAATGAACTGCCGTTTTGTTGTAATAACATGTTTGGCGATCTCCCGTTTGGTTAACTCCCACATACTCCCTATGGGGTTCATGTCAGGTGAGTTTCCCGGTCAGGGCAGAACTGCAATATTTTCTTTGGACAGAAATGCAGTTACACTTCTAAGCTTTGTGGCACGGTGCAGAATCGTGCATAAAAATGTATTTTTTTTTTGGTACCAGGGAACCATTCTTTGAGCTGGGGAAGTAGCCGAGTTTCAAGTATTCGCTTATACTGGTCCTATCTCATTGTCCCTTCCACGATATATAAGCGTCTCATACCCTTGGCCGAGATTACAGACCACACCATGACACTAATCGGATGTTTAACCCTCTCCACAATGCAATCTGGATGGAACTGCTCCCCAGGACGTCGTTGGACGAATGCTCTTTTGTCCACCAAAATCTGGAATGTTGATTCATCGGAGAAACGTACCTGAAAAAATGAAAAGATTCGCTGTTCACAAACTTCATTCGTTAAAAAAAGTTGTACTCGGCTCCAGTCTTCAACGGTCATACTTCGGTGCTGCTTGGCCCATTGGAGTCTTTTTCTGTTCATGGCTTCGCTGAGCCGTGGTTGTTTCATAGGCCGGCGACCTATCAGATTCTCTTCGTCGGATTGTTCTTCTGGAAACATTAATTCCTTCGGTATTTATCACCGTAGTCAGATGTGCCACACTATTTTTAAGTTTTTGGGACAAATGTCCCTGATTTTACGGTCAGTACGAGGAGTAGTGATCCTTTTCCTGTCACATTTTACAACACGGCCCGGTTCCAATGCCTCCTTTGAATCAATTTTTATTTTAATTATATTTACTACAGACTTTGAAACACTTGCAGTAGTTGCTATTACTCTTTGGGAAAGTGTAGAGTGCAGTAACATCGTTTTTATTTCTTAATTGTGCCTGGGGATTGTTCCAAGTATGCAATTTTTCCCATACTAAAAAAATAATTTTGATTTTGAACAATGATTTTAAATAAAATCATGTCATTAAAGCCAGCAAAAATGACTATAACAAATATTACTTACTGTTAAATATATCTGACAAGAAAACCTAGCAGAAACACTTTAAAAAAGTTTTAAACAACTTGCAAATATTTTTAAGCCTCACTGCGATAACAGCCGATGACCAACTGAGATGCAACAGCAATTATTTCATACATAAGCAGTCTACCAGTGTTGCCGCTGATCAACAATTTTAATAATCATACCAGAAGAACTGCCAAATATAATACAGATATGAAAACCAATTTCCTTGGTCAAAAAAAACCATTTAAAATAGAAAATACAAAAATATGTAGTGTCCCTAATAATTTGGCTACCCACTGTATATTACTAAACATCTTTTTAACTTTTTAAAAAACAATTTTAGTTTGAAAATACAAGAAACAAAGTGTTACAAATTTATTAATAATGAATAATGAAATAAAGAACGACAAATGTTTTTATGTATTGACTGCTGACTCGGTGGGAACATGTAAAAACCTCGGGTTTCGCTGACTCTGCTGATACTGCATATACAGGAATCCTTGTCGGTTCTAGTAGCTGAAACCCGATACCCTGGGAGTCGTCGTTATTAGTCACCTTGGATGGTAATGGGCAGTGGGTCAGAAACTGTTATGAGCCAAAGGTTCGTGTTGATCTTCTGAACGTTGTAGTCTTTGACGAATACTACATAAATTCGATAATATCGAGATATTGAGCCAGATTCGAAGTATATTTATTTATTTACGGATATTCCATTCTTACAAAAATAGAATATCCTAACCATAACAGAAATGGTAAAACATTTAATGTTGTTAAAAATTATTAACTTAAAATAAATTTTATTAAAAATCTTATTGATTGTCCACCCAGGTTCGATAACCTTTTATTTGGACCTGGTAAACCCAAAGCTCTTGCAGCGAAGCTACATCGAATCTTCTCATAGCAACAGTAAATTCTTCTAACGCTGTCTTCAATGCTTTGTACATGTCCATCCTCCCGATCTTCAGATTTTTCAATTCCCAATCTTAAGGTCAGGAGATAACAGTAACGAACCAAAAGATACAATAGATACGTTATTTTCTACATATTTTATGTACGTGAAGCTCTAGGTTCCGTCTCAGAACGAAATGAAGCATCAAATGATGAGCATTTAGTAAGAGTAAGAAAAATTTTCGGCAAAACTTTATAATTACTTTAATGTTTTTCAATTCAAGTAAAGATAGTTCAAACACTCTTGACCATGGAGCTGCGCGAAGGCGGAGTCAAATAGTGTACAGTACAATGCGCTTCGCATGGAAGTGGGGAGTAAAATAAATTTCGTCTACTGCGCCGTGGTCAGGAGTGCTCGCACTATCTCTTGATAAGGGGAAATTCTATCAACTTTTACGCGAACATGTACTCCTCGACGAGTAAAGCTGCCGTAGCAGGAAAGTGACGACGACGAAGTTTAATTTTTCCTGCAGGATTAATTGGTTTATAACACTTGTTAAGGAAGATTAACGATTCCTTGTTCAGTTATTCCTACCGTACTTTAATATGCATGTATTAAAATTGTACGTAACTGTCTTGCATTTTATTATTTTTAAATAATATTTTCGTCATTTGTTGTTGTTGTTTTTTTTTGCATCAAACATTTTGTTGTTTTAGCGCTGGAAACAAAATAAAAGCTGGAAAATGTTTTGTATTTTGGGGGTTAGATACAGAATACACTGCGGTTGCTGTTACAGGACTTGGTAAAGACACTGACTCACGAGATGATATTGAGCTAATATGTCAAGAAAACGAAAATGTTAGAATTGCTGCTTCCGGTAAGATATTACAAGAGTAATTTGAGTTGTCATTTCTAACTTTTGTTTTTTCCAGCCGGTTGTCGAGCACTGGAGTCTGTGGGGGTTAAAAATATTGACGTGGAGGACTTTTGTAATGCAGAAGCAGCTGCCGAAGGAAGTAATTTAGGCATTTGGAAATTTCAAGAATACAAGTCGAAAAAAGAGAACTTATCACAAGTACAGCTTTGTCAATTAAACGGATCTGGCGTTGCTGAGGATTGGCAGAAAGGAGTTATAAAAGCAGAAGCACAAAATTTGGCTAGAAAATTAGCCGATACACCAGCAAATCTTTTGACGCCCACCATTTTTTCCGAACAAGTCCATAGTATTTTAACGCCTTTGGGAGTAGATGTAAAAATTTACGATAAAAAATGGGCCGAAGATCAGAAGATGTTCTCTTTCCTTAGTGTAGCAAAAGGATCCGTAGAGCCGCCAAAATTTTTAGAAATCACCTACAACAGCGCAGCTACTTCCGACGCGCCGTACGTTCTAGTGGGAAAAGGGGTTACATTTGATGCTGGAGGTATAAGTTTAAAACCAGCTCAAGCTATGGACGAGATGCGAGCCGATATGGGAGGAGCAGCTGCCGTAGTTGGTGCCATTTATGGTTTGGCGAGACTGAAAGTTCCAAAAAATGTCAAAATTTTAATTCCTCTAGTCGAAAATCTTCCATCTGGCAACGCTGTTAAACCGGGCGATGTCATCACCGCAAGAAACGGAAAAACAATATGTGTGGATAACACTGATGCAGAAGGAAGGCTCATTTTGGCAGATGCCTTATGTTACAGCTCAGAATTCAAACCCAAATGGGTTTTAGACATTGCAACTTTAACTGGAGCCATGAGGGTCGCATTAGGAAACGCAGCTACAGGTTTGTTTAGTAATATTAAAAATAAAATATACTCATCGTTAAAGTTTAAATATAATACATTAGTTGTTTTCGTTCTATTTAGGTGTTTTCACCAATAGCAACAAGCTCTATGGTACACTGGAAGAGTCTGGATCGTCATCAGGTGATAGAGTCTGGCGTATGCCGTTGTGGAAACATTTTACCAAACAAGTAGCAGAAAATGCTGCCTACGACCTTAACAACATCGGTAAAGGAAAAGGCGGTGGTAGTTGCACGGCTGCAGCTTTTCTACGAGAATTCGTACCACAAAACACGGACTGGTTGCATTTGGACATCGCCGGTGTTATGGGTCCTCAAGATGATACTCCTTATCTACAAAAGGGTATGACTGGCAGACCTACAAGAACTCTCATTGAATTTATTAGAAGACAGGTTTAATTATTAACAAAATTTTTGTAATAATTATGAAATAAGGCTAAAAATAAAGTATGTATTTTTATTTCTTTAACATTCTTCTAAGATATCAAAGTTCATTCATTCTGTCTACTTTTTTATATTTGAAAATTGAAATTTCGTACAATACTAGTGGTTTATAGTATTTCTTAACTGTATGGATTTAGAAGAAAACCACTATTTCTTCTAAACTCGCGTGCTTCCTTGTAACAATAAAGCAACCATCTAGTTTATTGGGTGTCAATTATTTAACAATAAAACGACACGTCAATCGTGTAACTATTCGATATGTGCAAGTTCAGAAGAGCGACACCTAGTGCCATCATCATCATCCATCCTTCATTTATCACGTCCAACTGCTGGACATAAGCCTCCCTTAAACTCGTCCATTCTTTGCCATTTTGTGCTCTTTGTTGCCAATTTTTGGTGATACGCATGATGTCGTCAGCCAAACGTATAGGTTTTCTTCCTCTACTACGTTTGTTTGTCCTTGGCCCCCAATTGATGATTTTACTTATCCATCGTGAGTCATGCATTCTCGCTACATGGCCTGCCCAGTTGCATTTTAGTTCCGCTACATCAGCAATACTCGTCCTTCTTCGTTTCTTTCAGATCTTCGTTTCTATGACATCCAGTGTCATAGATCAGCGAAATTATTAGCACTTTTAATATAGTACTCACTACTCATATGTAAACTACAAATAAAATGACCTAAACTTGTTTATTTAATACAATAATTATTGTAATTTATATCAATATTTAACTTCTAAAAATTTTTAATGGATTTTTAATTATAAAAATGGGTAAATATTTATATTTTTTTAGATTTCATCATTTGAACATTAAATATATAGGTTATCAAAAGGTTAACATGTCTGAAGAGGGACACTTAGTATCATAGATCAGCGAACTTTTTAATAAATTGCAAATAAAATGACTTATTGTTATACTTGTTTATTTAATACAATAATTTATTGTAATTATATCAATATTTGACTTCGAAAAATTTTTAATGGGATTTAAATTGTAAAAATAAGTATATTGTTTACGTTTAGATTTCATCATTTGAACATTAAAGATAGAGTTCTTCTTGAAGGTAAAAGTGCACAAATATCAAAAATGCATGCTTCTATATTATTTGTCAATGAACGAGAGGTAAAGATTCGTCTGCTGACCAGATGTACTTTCGAATACACTCTTGGAAGCAGCGACGGCCGGCCAGGTGAAGGTGAGGTTTACCAAAAAAATATAATTAAATTGAGACAAATAAATAAAAAAATAAAAGCAACATTATTATATCTAAATTCTGAAATCAATTATTTATTCTCTTTTAATTAATCTAAAAATTAAAAAAGACAACTTAACTCTGTTTTACATTTTGTTATATATGTGGAACTTGTGGAAATATTTAACGATACAATCAATAAAATTCATCATCATTCTGGCTTTACAACCCTGCGTCGATCCTAGCTGAAATTATACTTCACAATTTCGAATTTTCAAATTGTAAAAAATAATTCTTTGGTGTATGTGCCAAAAGGCAATTCGAGCGTACTAACAAAATCAGGAATTATTTTTTGATCGAAGCACCTTACAATTTTTTGAGCTTTCTCTCCTGGTTATTGACCGTTCTTTAATTTTATATATAGTCATAGATTATACTTGTAGATTTGTACATATTAAAATTAAAAATTTGGATCATACTTTTTCTAAAAATATTCAATTATTAAAAATTAAAATAATACTTTATTTTCTACATCTACATATAAAAATATCTAAAGTTGCTTTTATTGCCCCACTCTTTCTTATTTTAGAAGCAGTAATAGCGCTGACATGACCGCTCCCTAGTGGTACAAATAAGGAACTAAAATCATGATCAACTTCTGATTGTTGTGTGTATAACTGTTACCGACACTAAAAAATGACAGTGAAAGATTCTTCTATATGCGTCTATATTCTTTGTATGATCCATGGAAACCCAGCCAGAATATATATCAAGGGACCTAGACTAGAGACAAGAGATCTCGAAGAAGGCGACGTGGAAGAGAATCTCAAAACAGTTGGCATTAGAGGGTGGAGAAAAAGGCATTTCATAGCGGCGAATGGAAGAACGTTCTGAAGCGCGAATTGAAGGACGTTCTGAAGCAGGAGAAGGAAGTAGAGGGATGATGATGATGACGGTCGGATGATGGTCTTAACATGACATTTGTGGTGAATATAGACTGGAAATAAGAGGACAAATGGGTTATCGAAGTTATGTGCTTGAACAGCATTAAAAATTCATTGGCATAGAGTCCGTTCAAATGTATTTGAAATTCCATCAATCCCTAGCCTTAACGAAATAGTAATCATCAATTTGCCAAATATCAACTTGTAAGGTCGCTAATTGTCTACTTATTACAAGTTATTTAGTTGTAATTCTGGTTCTAATGATAAAACTGGTCGTACGAATAGTAAAAAACATCCGAAATAAAAATTTTGTAGCGAAGAATGAATACAAGTAAATTATATTAGTATGCATATTTATTTAAATTCATTATATCACAATTTTGAAATTCGGTAACGTTACACTAAAAAATCAGCACAATACAGAAATATCCAAATATACTTACAAAGGTAACTAAGATGTTATGTTAACATGTGCCCAAAAAACAATCACAGAACTGACCTTTTATAGGTACACTGGCGGTGTAATTTCGCCCACTTTAAAATTGTAACTTGATTATTATAAATCACTGTAATTTGTTTTTAAGGAAGTGTCATCTGTCATGTAGTCACTATACTTGACATTTTATACTTTCACTTGAAAGTATAAAATTCACATTGATTTGCATGTTTTCAAAAAATCGTTAATTTCTATTGCCTATGGTCTCTATCTTGCAGTGGGATCTGGTTGTATATTATTTTTGGTTTAATATATTTTGTTTTATAAAAGAAACAAGACATGGAGTTATTATTAAAATAACCATACAGAAAGTTAACTCAAAGAAAAATAGAACTATGCTTGAAATACAGATGAGACAGAAAAACAAGCACGTAGATTCGCAATAAGACGATTACAACATCTAAAAGATCGCATAGCTACCTTTATATAAAAAAAGGGCAGGATACTTAATAAGGGGCAAAAAGGTGACAAATTCGATATCAAAACAAATAGAAAGAGCAAGATGGAAAGATGACTTAAACATGACGGATTACATTCGACGTATTTGGAAAGACTTTAGAAAGGAATATATAAGAAATAGGGTATCTGAGATAATGGGAAACAATGATAATAGTAAAAAGAACAGGTTCCTGGCGAAAAAGTTCTACCACCTCAAAATATGACTTTTTTGGCGTCCGTACGTTGCGGATAAGAAAAACTGTTGTTCTTTCTCTTTATAAGCAATTTTGCTTGTTCATTGGCGGATTAATACCTCTATATCATTTGCCCGGTCGCCTTTTGCTTCTTCTGCCGATTGGTGACATCCCTTGTTATTTTGATAACACGGGTCTCTCCCATTCTGCTATGTGGTTATTCCATTCTTTTGTTTTATTTTATGTCCATTCATTTATGCACTGTACGTTAACATTTTCTTCTAATGTCTTCACTTGTCTTTCGATCTCTTAGCATATTTTCTGTAATTCTTCTCAACACTCTCAGCTCTGCCGTTTCCAGTAGCCTTTGTGTTGTGGCTATGTCGGGTCTTGTTTCTGAGACATATGTCATTATTGGATTTACACTGGCTTCATAAATTCTTGACTTCATCTCAGTGTTAATGTTTCACCATATAGTGTTATTAAAGCATCCTACCAGTTTATTTGCTTTTTGTACTTGATATATCACTTCTTTGTCCAGGTCTCCATAGCTGGACAGTGTAATTCCAAGGTATTTTGTTTCCATTATTTGTTTAATACTGATGCCATCAATTTCTATTTTACATCTGGTTGGTTATTTGCTGATTACTATTGTTTTAGTTTTCTGAGATGAGATTGTCATATTAAATTATTTTGCTCTTATGTTAAATCTGTGGACCAGTCTTTGCAGACTATATTCTTCTTGGGCTATCAATATTGCATCGTCTACGTGCCAGAGTATTTTTATTTCTTTTTTTCCCATTTTGCATGCTGTTCCTTTGTTAACGTTTTTGATGATTTCATTCATGATTAAATTTAAAAGCATATGACTCAATGAATCTCCTTGTCTTATTCCGCTGCCTATTTCTATAGGTTCTGTAAGTTGTCTCAGTTGATCACTGGTAAAGGCTTTCGAAAGAAATGAAACATGATTTTAAGAAACTGTTGTACGGCTAAACTACAGTTAGACATCCCTTCAGAAATTCTAATTTCCACAGTCCATTCTACTCTACAAGACTTTAGGTACATTTATGATCTTTTAAACAATCAACCCCTTCTAAAAAACAAACACTGATGTTTGTTTTTTACACGAGTACGACACTTAAAAGTGTATTAAACAATTTTTAAGAGACCACTTATACCTTTCAGGCTTACCACCGAAGGGAATGGTATTTTCATCGATGATAACGCGAAATATTACATAGTGGTCAGAGATTATCAAGACAAACAAGACATTCAGTGGTTACATTGGTCAACATTTACTCCAAATCTGAATCTTAATGAATTCATCTCTAACTACATATCCTCCAAAAACGTATACCGTCTTCACGAAGTACCTATAAAATGAAATATTTGTTCGTGTTGTAGGGGAATAACATTCTCAAATCGTGTTTCATCGTTAAATTGGATGTGTATGTGTCGTTGACTTCCACCAAGAGGTAATATACGTTATTAGTGACCAAATTCAGACAAATTAACGATGGATTCGTCATTAAATAATTACAAGTGAATAAATCCGTCTAAACGATATATGGAAAGCAAAATACTGCTTTCTGAATGGAAACTGACAAAGCACCATCAATAAAAAATCTTAAAATATAAACTTAAAACACAATATATCAAACAAATCACAATTTGAAAAGGAGATAAGTATTTTTCCCGCCAGCGTACCAATATATATTGCCGAACAACGTACATTACAAACAAAA